CAAATAAGGAAAGTTCTCTTAGCAGATTAACTTGTTTTGTCCTTGCGAATGGAACCTAAAGTTCATGAAATGCAGTAGCCTATTATTTCCTAAAAAGGTGCTTAGGTACATAGCATATGGTTCAGAATAAGGTCAAAGTACAGGTTTGATTTCTGTTTTGACTGAGTTAGTCTTGGAGCCTGCCCTCTCACGGTACACCTGAGAAGGGAAGGCAATGACAAAACGACACTGACAAAAAATTGAAACAAAGACAGAAAGTGCTGGACAATCTACTCTGCAGGTCTGGCAATATCTGCGGGGAGAAAAACAGATGAAGGGTCACTGGATTTGAAAGATTAACTGTGTATTGCTTTCCACAAATGCTACCAGACCTGCTGAGATTATCCAGCACTTCTGTTGTGTGAATAAGTGTTTCTTGATATCAGTCTTAAAAGTACAATTTATCAGATTGACCACAGGAGGCAATGGCCTAGTGGTATCAACACTAGAGTATTAATCCAGAGACCCAGGTATTGTTCTGAGGACCTAGGTTCAATGACAAATTGTGGAATTTAAATCCAATAAAAATCTGGAATTAAGAATCTAATGATGAACTTGAAACTATCGTTGATTGTTGAAAAAGTCTAAATAAAAACTGTAAGAACTGTGGATGCTGTAGATTAGAAAAAAAAACAAAAGTTGCCAGAAAAGCTCAGCAGGTCTGGTAGCATCTGTAAAGAGGAATCAGAGTTAACATTTTGGGTCCAGTGACCCTTCCTCAGAATTTCTGAGATACCCATGGCCCTCTGGAATCTTCTTCCCCTCCCCTTCACTCTGACTCCATCCCCTCCTCCAACCCCACTCCCTCCTAACCTTCCGCTCTCCAATGCTGAACATTCTGTACTCAGCAAAGGTCTCAGTTTTGTCCCTCTGTGTCGCCACCTTTACAAATTTTGGGCCTGACATCCTCGAATTCATCTTCCATCATCTTCACCTCTGTGCCCATTTCTTTGGACCAGAGTCCTTTCCCTGTCCCACAGACCCCTTTGCCCATCTCCAACACTCCCTCTCCACCTGGACCCCTCCCTCTAGCCTTTCACCTGCACTCGATTTATTCATTGAGAACTGTCAACTTAACATTGGTCGCTTCTATTTATCTACTCCCCTCACCCAATCTAACCTATCTCCCTCGAACTGTCTGCACTCCGTGCACTTAGATCCAACCCTGACTTTGTTATTAAGCCTGCTGATAAGGGTGGTGCTATTGTATTCTGGCGTACTGACTTCTACATTGCAGAGGCAAAAAAAGTTTTGAGGAAGGGTCACCAGACACGAAACATTAACTCTGATTTCTCTTCACAGATGCTGCCTGACCTGCTGAGCTTTTCCAGCAACTTTTTTTTTTACTGAAAATGTCTATTTGCTTCACTAATGTCCTTTCAGGGAGGTGACTGCGTTCCTTGCCTGGTCAGGCCTACATGTGATTCCAGACCCCCAGCAATGTGGTTGACTCTTAATTGACTACTGGGCATTTAGGGATGGGCAATAAATGCTGGCCTTGATAGGAATGTCCACTGCCTGCAAATGAATTTTAAAACATATACCCCAGACCCACTTATCCGAGATAAAGGCCAAGATCTTCACAGAGTCGCAATGAATGCAGAGGCATTTTAAAATGACAGCTAAACTCAATTTCAGGATTCCCAATCTATCTCTCTCTCTCTCTCACTCACACACAGACACACACACAAACACACACATACACAACATACACTTTTAGTGATTTTGCTCCATGTAAAGAATTTCAGCCTCTGCAACCTTTTTTTTTAATAGCTTAAATGCCTTAAACTAGGTATCAGCTTGGTTAGCACTAAAATTGAAGATAACTAGCTGAAGTATGTTGATCAGAGGCCTGTAAGACACTCTAGATATCAGTGTTTGGTAAAAACTAGTTACCAATGGGATTTGAGTTCTCCTTCCCAAGCTATACAGTACATCCTAAAATACCGTTCCTTTTTCTTCCTGCTACATTATACTAGTCACATATGCTTTTACTGATTTCAGTGAGCTACCCATCATTATCTCCAGATATTTATCCTGTGTTGTGTCCAGTAAATTAGAGCCATTTGATTTATATCCCCTGTATTTTTATACCCTTTAACCTATTTTCCAAAATTCTTCTCGTAATTGGTCTGTCCCTTCCCAATTATTTACACTTCCCACTCTGATCCTGAGACACCTGAATTGTTTATCTTTAACATATGGATGCAGTTTAATCACAACACCTTTCTTCCAGATGAATCATTTTTCAAATCCCTTCAGAAGCTCACTGCCTCTTCAGTGTGCTTCAGTCTTGTGGGCTTCCTGGTTCTGTGACAGCCTATTAAAATCCTCGCCAAAAACCTATATGTACATTATCAAGTACCTAAAAAAAAGTTAAATCCATGCTGACTCAATTTTATCATAATGTACCCATCTGAGTTATTTCGCATGCCACCTCAAGGTGTTGTCTGGAATGGATGTTGCCGAATGGTTTTGGTTAAAGTTAATTTTTTTAGTCATTGTGCACTATTTCTGTTTTAAATGATTCCCTAAACTCGTTACCAATGGAGCTGATTAACAGGGTGGACACCAGTAAATGTTTAAATGCTAAATATTTAATAATCAGTGAAGTTAAGCAAATGAAATACTAACTTGAGGATGGAAGAGTGAGAACTTAAATTTCAAAATCTGTACTCAGCACTTCCTTTCATTCTATGGATTGTGAATAGACTAGACTTTGATTAAATTTCAGAGATAGGTTAAAGTAGAGTGAGACATATTTGAGTTGTCCATAGACAAAAAAGATTTAAACCCTTTGAAAGCAATTTATAGCAAACATTAAACAGTAAAAGTTCTAACATTTTATTGGCCTATTAGTGGGTGCAGAGATTGCATGTGTGATTACACCACACCTTAGAAATGATACAGCCAGCACACAAATCTCACTCTGCTTATCTTCATTGTGTAACCTGGCACTAAATGCAATAGTAACTGGCTGCATGCTCAGCAGGGAGTTCAGGTTTGTGTGAGGCTTGCGCCAACTAATGTGCCTCCTAAAGTGGAACTCCATTCCTGCTGTAAGAAATTGTAGAAGAACCACAGATTAGGAAGTGATGATGCAGCAAGTCAAAGAGATTCTCAAATACAGCACTGCCCTCTGAAAGGGTGGTGCAGACAGATTCGATTTAATAAATAAATATCTACACACAACACAAATTGCAGAGCTTTGAGAAATGAGCAGGGGAACAGGATATAATTCTCTTTCACATGTAAGATTCTCCCATTATCAGTGATCATTTTTTCCCTCTTTATTGATAACTTAGACCACAATGAGAAAAGCATGAAAATCATCAAAGCTTACTGATTAGCATGTTATTTCTTACAGTGTTTGCATCAATCTGTGTGAGCAAAGTACAGAGGAGGGAAAAGTTGATGTAAAAGAATGAGAAAACGCAAGTTACACACATGGTTTACAGAATAGATTTAATTCTAGGAGCACTAAGAATTCCATGAACTTATTTTTCCCTTTCCTAATTTGACTATTACTGTAGTTGCAGTGGTTCACTGAGGGCATTATTGCTAAGTTTTCAGATGACACAAGGATAGTTGGACAGGCAGGTAGTGTTGACAAGGCTGCAGAAGTACTTGGACAGGCTAGGGGAGTGGGCAAAAAGTGGCAGATGGAATACAATGTGGGAAAGTGCAGGGTTTTGCACTTTGTAAGAAGAATGGAGGCATAGACTATTTTCTAAATAGGAAAGGCTTAAAAGTCTGAAGCACAACGGGATTTGGGAGTCCTAGTTCCTGATTCTTTTATGGTCAACATGCAGATTCAGTTGGCAGTTAGGAAGGCAAATACAATATTAGCATCCATTTCAAGAGAGATAGAATACAAGAGCAGAGATGCACTACTAAGACTGTATAGGTCTTTGGTCAGACTGCATTTGGAACATTATGAGCAGTTTTGGGCCCCGTATCTAAAGAAGGATGTGCTAGCATTGGAGGGGGTCCAGAGGGGTCTTACAAGAATGATCTTGGAGATGAAGGCTTGTTGTATGAGGAGCATTTGAGGACTCTCGGTCTGTACATGATGGAGTTTAGAAGGTTGGGGGAGGGCTCTTATTGAAACAGAATACTGAGAGACTTGGAGAGAACATGAAGAGGTTTCCACTAGCAGGGGAGGCTAAGACCTGAGAGCACAGCCTAAGAGTGAAAGGATGACTCTTGAGAACTGAGGTGAGCAGGAACTTCTTCAACCAGAGGATGGTGAATCTGTGGAACTCACTGTCACAGAAGGCTGTGGAGGCCAAGTCATTGATTGTATATAAGACAGGGATAGATAGGTTCTTGATTGGTAAGTTGATCAAGGCTTATGGGGAGAAATGGGGTTGAGAAATATCAGCCATGACCAAATGGCAGAGCAGCTTCAATGGGTCAAATGGCCTAAATCTGTTCCTATATCCTATGGTCTCACAATAAAGGAGTATGATTCAATGAAATTGAGTTGCTATGTCACATTTAATCATCTTTAACTGTAGGCATTTATGATACTCTACATGATGCCCATCACTGACACAAGATAAGGATCAAATATGGAAGCTATAATTTTATCTTTAAGGTGGGAATGAATGTTGATAGCAAGACAGTGCTGGTGTAAATTGAATATTTTGACAATTGCTAGCATATGCATTCTGTTTGATTCATTGTTATGTGGATAGACTTGCTTATGAGAAATTGAATCCCTCCACCAAATACTCTTCCCAATCTTGAGAAGACAATCCCATGGTCACACAAATAGGCTAAGTGAAAAAGAAGGTACTTTTACACTGATATGGTATCATTCTGTCTTACACGAGGCATTCAGAAATTGACACATTGATGTGATATTTTTACACTAGCAAGTATTGTGGGCAGTGAAAACTGCAAAGAAATCAAGTAGTTAGTTCATAATTAAAAATACAAGGAAATTAGAATGTTACCTTTCTGAATCCTCCTTGTAGGTAGCAACATTTTCACCATTCCTGTCTTCTGAAGTAAGCTCATTCTCTTCCATATCTGGACCTAGTTGGTGGCACCGTTCATTCCTCGGGTCCCCATTGTGTAGCGGCCGGCAGCTCAGAGGCTTGTCAGGTGGGTCTTTATGGTATGAGTTCCTCTTCTTGCAGCACAGTAGCTTTTCATATGCCTTGCGGAAATCCCGGTTGAGGGTGGCATAAAGAATGGGGTTCAGGGCTGAGTTAACATAACCCAACCACAGGACCACAGCAAAGACAGTCTTGTTGGCCTGTCTGCCTGAAATTCCTTCATGGGTAAATACTGTGAAATAAGGGAACCAACAAATGATGAAGACCCCCATCACTATTGCTAGTGTTACAGTTGCTTTATGCTCCTTCACAGTTGGCAGTGATCGGTTCAGTGCTGTGCATCCAGTGACGGTGTTGATTCGTTTGGCTTGTTCCCTTGCGATTTTGAATATTCGATAATAAGTCAGGCACATGATGGGTAAAGGGATGTAGAAGGTGATGAAAGCATCTATGAGGGCATACACTTTATTGAGCTCTAAGTGGCATTGATTGGTATTGGCTAAGCTTTGCACTGATAAATCTTTGGTATTCCAACCTAAGTTGATAGGCAAGAAGGAGACCATGATTGAAATGCACCAGATCAGACCAAGGGAGATGACAACTCTGTTGCGAGTAATAAACACGGCATACCTCAGTGGAGCTGTCACAGCATAGTAGCGGTCCAGGCTGATCATGAAAAGATTGAGGATGGAAGCTGTACACAGCATGACATCCAAGCTGGTGTAAATGTTGCAGAAGGTGTCCCCAAATGGCCATTCAAACAGCTCTGAGATAGCTGAGAATGGCAAGACTAGCAAACCCAGCAGCAGATCTGTTGCAGCCAGGGACACAATGAAACAGTTTGTGTGGTTCTGGAGTTTACGGTTCAATCCAACTGCTAGGCACACCAGCACATTCCCAAAGATGGTTATTATTACAATCACTCCTAATACCAATCCAATCAGGACTGTGGAGAGTACTGTCCTGTTCTCAGATGAAGTGGTGGCATTCTGGCTCCCCTCCACTTCCATGATGTTGGAATTAGAAAATCATAGTCAAAACAGTGATAAATTCTACTGTGCAATAAAGTTGAGTCACAGTAAGTATTTAAGATTCAATATTACTTAAGTTTCAAGTCTGTACAGATGGCAAATCCGTGATTATTTGTGAAAATATTAATAGGCCAGTCGAACTCATCTTCACCATCTCAGCCATATATATATTTGTTTTACCAATGCTTGGCAGGTCCAAGGAGGTGTTAAGAACATAACTTGCCAATCCCATCCATCCTGTGTGTGTTGGTACAAATTCAGTCTTGTCAAGTTGTGTGTGTGGCCATGTTAGTAGGCAGAGGCTGCAATAAAAATGGCATGATAAATGTCAAACTCATATTGGACTGTTACAAAAGCAAAATACTACACATGCTGTAAATCTGAAATTAAAAATAGGAAATATCCAAGAAATCTGGCAGAATATTTCTGATAAAACATCATCAAAGTGAAATGGTATCTCTGTTTCTCTCTCTCCAAAGACGTGGTCAGACTTGCTCAGAATTTCTACAATGTCTTTTTAAAATAGATTGCATCAACATCTTACTTTTGGTAAATAGGTCATTCTCTCTAATTTTTATTTCTCAGAGAATGAAGTTTGATAATTAATAACAAAAAGTTACATTTCTTTGGCATATTCTACATCAGATTCAATATCTAGCATTACATTTATTAGTATCCTTCAAGTTATTATTTAATCTGTTTCATTATCCAAATTGTACAGTCATTAAACATTTTTTAATTGTCTTGAGTCAAGTTAAATACTGTGTACGCAGACTTGTTTAGAACAATGTATTAACGAGCAACAGTTATTCAAGATGTAAATTTGGCAAAGAAAATACAGCTAACTAAAAATTTCATTGTTATTTTCAGAGCAGTACTGTCTGGCTCATCTCTATTTTCTTAAGTTACTAAAGAAGTGTTTAATTTAGGTGTGTGGTATTCTTTCTGATAATGTGCATTCTGAGTCACTGCAGGTAAAACAAACTAGTGTGTCATTCCTTTTTAAGTTTCAATGTTAGGTTTTCAGGGTCTGGACACAAAGGTACTATATACAACACCACGTATCAGTAACGCATTCAAATTCACACAATTTACTAAAAAAAATTGTTCCTCATATTGGATACAAACCAGCAGCTAAATGTGGTATTAGAGGTGCAAACAAATATTCAAGTCATAGACAGTCTGTCTGTTAAATTAGTTCCGAGTACTGTCTGCAGCTGGTTGGGAGTACAAGTGTCATTGTATTGTCTAAAAATAATTAAAATACAAAACTTGCTGTTAACAAGACAACACTTTCTACTAAACATACACTTTTACTGATTTATTAAATGTTTCTGGTCAACCATAGAGTCAGGCAACCCAGAAACACAATGCTGTGACTTCACACTCTTTGGGGACAATTGTAGCCACCATAGAGACATCAGAAATTTGGACCTCCACCCTTACATGCTCCGGTACAGTTTTACCGCCCACCTTAGTGTGGCAATTTGAAAACCTTCCCTACATTTTACCTAACAGGACAGCATTCAAGTAGCATTTGAATTAATCTATAACCAGCATCCTTAAACTCAAGAAAAACTCAGCAGGACTGGCAACATCTGTGGGGAGAAATTAGAGTTAATGGTTTGGGTCCAGTGACCCTTCTTCAGAACTGATGGTAGCTGGGAAAAGGTTCGTATTAACGCAGAAGATGGGGTGGGTGAAGGAGAGACAGTAACCGATAGGTAGAGAAAGACCCAAAGAGACAGGAAAACAGTTGGACAGACAATGGAGTGCTTAAAGGTCAGTCTGGGGGAATAAATAGCTGCTAATGGGGCTATTAGGACCTGACAACGGGTTTCAGAACAGCACCTCATTTTCCTCTTGGGAACTTCTCAGTCTTCTGGTGTTCAATCAAGTTCAACAATTTTAGGGCTTCAGGCCATATCCTTATCCCAATCCCAACCCCAACACACCAGGCCTTATCATCACATGGGTTGCTACCAAATACAACTCATTGTCAGCTACTAATATCCCCGATTAGCAGCTACTCATTCTCCCAGGCTGACCTTTAATCACTCCTTTGTCTGTCCAACTCTTTTTCTGTCTCTTTGGCTTTTGTCTCCACCTATCGTTTACTCTCCCCCCACCCACCACCCCATCTTCTGCATAAATACCAACGTTTTCCTAGCTACTATCAGTTCTGAAGAAGGGTCACTGGACCTGAAATATTACTCTGACTTCTCTCCATAGATGCTGCCAGACCTGTTGAGTTATTCCAGCAGTTTGTTTTTGTTTTTGTTTCTGATTTCCAGTATCCGTAAATCTTTTCTTTTCCTTACCGCAGGTTTCAGCTTTCTAAAACATTAAGTTTTCTTTTCATAACAGTTAATCGACTGTATTCTTTTGCACAAAACCAAATTTAGCTAAATTCCCTCCCCACTTCAAGTGCTTTAATATTATATTATTAATTTTTAATAGGTGATGATTTCATTACTTTATTTCAATTAACTTGAAAGGTCAATTGTTTCTCTGCAGTTATCATCTAATTTTCTGAATGTCTCCAACCCCTGGTAGTTTGCAGGAAAGTAAAGACTGGTAGAATCACTCTTTTAAGGTCTGGAAAGTACTTGGTCAGAGTTTTAAATTTCACTTAAATGTACAATAATCATATTATGTTATCATAGGAATCATTCTGGAGCTCCCAGTTGGAGGGATAGACTCGCCATTTGTCATTTCCTGGTCAGTAATTAAGTTATGATATCCCCAAAAGACCCAGGCCAAACAGGAAGACTGAGCAGCCATCAGAATTCAGGGAAGACAAGCTAGTACCGGCCAACACAAACAGGATCAGAAGAGGACCCACTGGAAATGAATGGAAACAAATAGGACCCGTTAAGCAAAAGTGGTTCTGCCTGGCTCCCAGGGAAAGACAGTGGGAGCATCAGAATGAGAGCAGACAACTAGACAATGATCTTTGACCTAACATTGGGCAAGAGAATCTAAAAGTGTTGATAACCCAGGCTAAACCCTCAGAAAGTAAAAAGATTGAACTCAGACCGGAAACAGTCATAAGGAGTCAAAACAACAGCCAGGGTACTAGGGCAGAAATGGCAGAACTTTACAGAGATGCACCCAAAAGGTGGTTACCAGAGTCTTTCTTTCCAAAACGAACTGGATATGCAGAAAGTTCAAACCAGGTTTAAACCAGGAAGGTAAAGGTGGATGAGAAGAAGGCATCTCCTCAGTGGCTGGGTGAGAAGTTGGTCTGATTAGAATCTTCTCCCAAGTGGACAAGACAAGAATGAGACAGACACCTTACCTGGTTGAAAAGCTACTGTTCAGTACATCAGGGACCAGACAAACCCCTGAAAAGGTGGGGGTGGGGTCAGGTTTTGGACAAGACCTGCCCAAAGTCACAGTACAAGGCAAGTTAACTGTCTTGAGGTTCAATCACGCACACACTGCCACAAATCACCCTACCAACTGCCACCAGTACAGTTCAAGTGTAACTATCTTAGAGGACCTAGTCTACAACCCATGTCAGCCTGAGCCCTACAGC